TGGTTCTTTATCATGTTTTGGAAATTGTTTAAAATTCATTTTCCTAAATCCATGTAGAAATAATGCCTTGAAGATATCAGCATTTTATATTAAACATATATTTCCACTTCATTAAATTGAGCTGGAGTTTTTTTTTAGAGATATGAGTCATTGTCAGAACTAAATTTCTAAGTATATACCTATGAATACTATATAACTGATTCTTAATTAATTTTTCTTGCTGCTTTAATAAATGCATGGTACATTTCAATGTCATTTCAGTTTGGGGAAAGTTTTTTTAGTTCAGATTGAGCATCCTAATTAGAAAAGAAAAATGTTTCAAAATCCCAGGTCCAAAATGCTCCAAAATTCAAATAATTTGAGCACCAACATGATGCCACAAATAGAAAATTCTATATGATGTCATGTGATGGGTAACATTCAAAACAGTCACATCAAAACATATTGTATATTGTCTGTCTGTCTCTCTGTATATATGTTACATATTTTAAAAATAGGCTTTCATTCCCAGTGACATATGAACTGTAATATTCTCTATGAACATTCAGTTTCTATGAAAGCATTGAGGGGATTTGGCTTGAACATTTTACCTACATGTGTGGGTATTGTGGGAGTGGGGGTGGTTAGAAATAGTGAAAAGATTGCTATTGACCACAATCAACTTTTGTAGAGGAAAAAGTACTGCTTTAAACATACAACTCTTGGGAAAATTTGCTTCTTTTTTTTTTTAACTCATAGCCAGTCACTTAAATGATCTTGTTTGCATCATCTTTCATTGTACTCCACTTTTTAGTTATATAGAATTGTTCATTCATGTTACAAGTATTTCTCTAGTCTCTCGCAACTGACAGGATCATGTGGAAATTTTATAACTACCAAGAGCTGTTAAAAGATACACTTCTGTGAATTAAAAACCAGCTACTTCTGTCGACTGCACACACCTAGTTCTGTAAAAACAGAATGCATTTCTTTTGAGGACTAAAGTCAGTACACCTATAAAGATTCTTGAAAATATGTTTGGTTTGGAAAAAAATCACGATGAACAACTTTGTATCCTACAAAGTAAATGCATAGAGCATGTATGGTTGTCCCATGAGTGTTAATTTGAACCCCAAGCCATAGGTGATTATGTGGAGTTGATATTATGGGTTTTATGTTCATATTTGGAGGCTTTCATGTTGTACTCTCTTTCTTAGAACATCCTTTTGCTACTTCTTGTGAATTTTATTTTTTTTTCAAAATCTCATTAGCCACCACTTCACACCTACTCAAAGAATAATTACATAGTTACTCATTCTCTAATACATGCTTCTCTAATCATTTTTACTCCCATTATTTGTGTGCATACATTTCCCTGTATTCTATCAGTTCAGCCTAAGTCTGGAAATACTTCCTGTGTTTGGCATGTTGGTATTTAGTAAGCACACAATTATTCCTAACCTATTTGGAATTAGATGTGAATGAAATTCTCTGCTTCTTAAAAGCAGAGCTTAATATTTAATTTAAAATTCTTGTTTTCTTTATATGTACAAAGGAGTTGCCATTCAACAAAAATAGTATATAATAACAATGAATTTAGATCAACATTACCCCTTTCATCATTCTCCCCCCATCCCTCCCAACCCTGATGTTCATTTTTTTTTCTGATTTGGAGACGTTTTTTGATGCAGAACAAGATTCAAGACCATTATATGAGATTTCATGTGCTAATCCTGGTGCTTGAATCTCTGGCCTTGGTGCTATCCCTGTTTTTTGTTCAAAACTTGTGTTCTACCACTTGAGCCAAAGTTCCACTTCTGATTCCTTGGTTGTTAACTGGAGATCTGAGTCTTATGGACTTTTCTTCCTGGGCTGGCTTCAAACCCTGAGCCTCAGATTTCAATCTTCTGAGTAGCTAGGTTTATTTGTGATGCCACCAATACCCAACTTCAAAATATTTCTTTAAACAACTCTTTTAATGAAAACTCAAGAAATATTTTCACTTGAGCTGCACCTCCAGTCCTGTCTGTGCTGGTTGATTGGGGACAAAAGTTAGATCTATCTGCCTGGGCTGGCTCCAGGTCGCAGTCCTCAGATCTCAGCCTCTTGAGTAGTTAGGGTTATAGGTTTGAGCCATTGACACCCAGCTTCACATGCTTGTTTTTTTTTTTTTTTTTTCAGTTGTGGGGCTTGAACTCTGGGCTTGGGTGCTGTCCCTCAACTCTTCAGCTCAAGACTACCACTTGAGCCACAGCTTTACTACCAGTTATCTGGTGGTTTTATTGGAGATAAGAGTCTCATGGACTTTCCTGCCTGGACTGGCTTTGAACCACAATCTTCAGATCTCACCCTCCTGAGTAGCTAGGATTACAGGCATGAGCCACCAGTGCCACCAGTGCCCAGCCATATATATATATATATATATATATATATATATATATATATATATATATATATATAATTTTTATTTTTTTGTTGGTCATGAGGCTTGAACTTTGGGCCTAGGCGCTGTCCCTCAGCTCTTTGGCTCAAAGCTAGCACTCTACCATTTGAGCCACAGTGCCACTTCTGCCTTTTTCTGCTTGTGTCATGCTGGGAACTGAACAGGACCTCCTGCATACAAGGCAAGCACTTTACCACTGAGCCACCCTGCAGCCCCATTTTTTTTTAAAGTAATATAGGTTTCTGAGTTTTTGCAAACCACATTTCTTAGAACATAGCTATGAAGTTCTTAAGTAATGTATAGTTAGGAGGAATTTTTTTTTCTGTTCTGGAACTTGAACAAAAGAGGATTTCAAAGTTTAAAAGTACTTTATTTAGGCTTCATGAACACTTTAGACACGTACACAATGTATTAGTTTTTAAAATATTTTTCGTATTTCTTAATTGTTACAATAATCCCTGCTTCAGGCAGAGATTAATTTCTTTTTCTTTTTTTTTGGGGGGGTGGGGTCCAGTCGTGGGTCCTGAACTACAGGCCTGGGCACTGTCCCTCAGCTCTTCATCTCAGGGCTAGTGCTCTACCACTTGAGCCACAGCGCCACTTCCAGCGCTGAGGAATCGAACCCAGGGCCTCATGCATGCAAGGCAAGCGCTTTAGCGCTGAGCCACCTTCCCAGCCCAGAGATTAATTTCTTGAATGAGAAAAGCATCTCAAAGAGCTTAAGCAGTGGGGTCTTGAGCTGGGTATATGGCTAAGTGACAGAGTAAACACTTGGCTGAAGCCCTTGGTTCAACCCACACATACACAAAACAGATGGTATATTTTGAGAAGTGACTTCATGAATAGGTTCAATGCCCTCCTGAAAGGAGAGTGAAGTGAATTGCTTTGTCTCTTCTGCCAAGTGAGAACACAGAAGGTACAACCTAATAGAAAACTCAGTGAACATTGAAAGGCTGCTGCTAAGATCAGCCTTTAGAACAATAACTATATGTTTTTAAAAAAGAGCTTCAGTGAGTTACTGAAGATGAATACTAAACTTACCACTAAATATTTGAAAGGCAAGGGGAATTTTAGAACACTGTTTTTCAGTCTAAGTACAGAAAATGTTTCCGAATTGCTAAGATATCTAGATTTTATTTTTATCTTTTGATAAATCAGAAAGATTTCTAATTTCTCAGCAATATTTGTCACCAGAAAGTTTTCTCATGTTCTGGATTGTCAAGAAACATTTTTGAAGACTTTAAAATTTTGTTAAGTAACATTTTCAGCTTTTCTCTCTGACTCATACAAATAAAGTTTGACAAATTCCCCAATATTTTGCAAATGCTACATGCTTGTGTTTTTAATGGTCAATTACTTTTGTTAGCTTTTTTAAATAAGTTTTTTATTGTGAAAATACTGAACAGAGGGGTTACAGTTACATGAGCAAGGTAATGAGTACATTTCTTATCAAACATTGTGTTAGCTTTTTATAAGGGCTATTATTATTATTGAGGCTATTGTGAAGAATCTAATTGGCGAACTTTTTCTAAAGCATAATACAACATTACTTTGCTAACAGGGATTGACAAGAGAAATTTGCTATATCTTTTACAAGACACTTTTTCCCCCCCAGAGAACTCCAAATATATGCATAAAATAAAGTATAAATTATTTGATAAACACGTTTGCCTCCACAGGTATTATGACTAATTTCCCGGCTACTAGATTTATCTGATAAAAACAACTGGAGCAAAACAGAGTTTTCTGTCATCCCATTATGGGATGGAAACCCTTTCTTGATTAAGAATTAAAAATTCCTCTTGTCCATAAACACCCTGGGCCTCACATTTGAACCTAAATGAAGGGACAAAGCTTTATACTGTCCTTTATACTTCATGCTTCTGCAGGGCAGGCATTAATCTAAGCAATGGTTGAGGATTCAATTAGTTCATTTGTTAATACTCAGCAGTTTGCTTTACTATTCTGACCCTCCCCTATTTGATACATAAGTAAGAAGACAAAATAACTGGTTTTTACAGTGAACAATTTTTCTAGCATTAAGGGAAATTTACAAGACATCAACTTTATTGAAAAAATGAGTTTTGTTTAGTATACATCTCTGTATGTGATATACCGGTATAGCTATCTGGACATTTTATGCTGGTAAATCTTTGGTCTGGAAAACCCAGAGAACCTGTTAATCTATCAAACTTGACAAATGGATTAAAAACACTTTGGGGGAGAAGAAAACACTGAATTAGAAATGAAACATATTATTTGTAAATGAACTGCTTATTAACAGCAAGAGTGTGTCAGTAAAGAGCTTAGCTTGCTAGATTAAAGAAATTGTCTCTCCCATCTGTTCTAATTAGCTAATCTCTCCTGCTTTCCTATCATGCTGATAATTTCAAGGAAGAAGTGAGAGCTACTTTGAAAGGACATTTTAAAAATTTATAATGGTTTTGGTGTGGTTGTCTGTTCTCAAAAATAAACTTTTAAATGTTGGGCCTTTTGTGTAACAATTTGTTACTGGAAATTTCAAGTCTTTGAATGTTCAGTTAAGATTTTGCCTCTTGTTTCTTTGATTTTGGCCCAAATGATTATGTTTCCTCTCTTTGGGAAGATTTCTCTGCATATTTTGATATTTTTCCTGATAGAAGGCATTGTTACATCCTTAACAGGTATGTTTTTCATCATTTTATGTATCTGTAGCATATTCTCCTAAAATTATTTGACATGATTGCTATGAGAAGTTGCTCAAATATAACTCAATCTTTGATACTGATTTTTATAAATTGTTTAAAAATATGTTCAGTATTTTGCATTTTATCTTTAAATTAATAAATCTGGGTTCAAACCTTACTTTTATTTCTTGTAATGAAATTGGGCATATACGTGATTTAAAAAAATCTTGAATTAAAGGAGTGGGAATTTTGGAGAGATTGAATATTTTATTCCCCTTTTTAGATTTATACTTCTGTCTACACTGTACATTGACTTTTAGATTCAGAGTCTAAATGTGGCCTAATGTCAATTTTTGTTACTTTTATTCTGAGCCTTGCTATGCTTTGACTTTGTAATACAAAACTTTGTATCTTTAGAAGAAAACCAAGAACCCAAGAGTACAATTGCTTTTCTCCTGCCTGAAGAATCTACAGATGCTCTTCTACTTACTGAAAAAAAACAGATTCTAGATCACCGAGAAACTGAGAGACAGTGGTTACTTAGAAGGCACCGGCGATCTATTCTGTTTCCTGACGGAGTAAAAATCTGTCCAAATGAAAGTGTTACAGAAGCTGTTGCAAACCATATGAGGTATTTTAAAGTCCGAGGTAAGCCAATATACAAAACCTGGGTTCCTGATGAAATTTATGGTCCATTTGTTGGGCTGATTATTCTGGTGCCCTGCATCTTGTATGTACATTTTTCTAATTTGGGGAGAGGAAGGGAAATAACAAAATGCTAAAACAAGGATACAGGTTGACCCATTGTAACAATGAGATGTACAAGACACTATGTTGAAAATGAAATTTACAACTTCGGGGCGGGGGAGGAAGGAATTGGGGAGGTGGGGAGGGAAGAGATAGTTGGGGAAAAACAAAGGAGGGGTTAATAATGCTCCATAGGAAATGTACTCATTACTTATGTAACTGTAACCCCTCTGCACAGTATCTTTACAATAAAAAAAGTGTGGCAGGGGGCTGGGAAGGTGGCCCAGTGGTAGAGCGCTTGCCTTGCATGCATGAGGCCCTGGGTTCGATTCCTTAGCACCACATAAGCATTAAAGTCAGAAGTGGCACTGTGGCTCAAGTGTAGAGCACTAACCTTGAGCTGAAGAGCTGAGGGACAGTGCCCAGGCCCAGAATTCAGGCCCCACGACGGGCAAAAAAGAAAAAGAAAAAAAGTGTGGCAATTTAGACAAAATTTTATATTAATGAAGCAAAAAGGACTTGATGAAAATATAGTATTAACATAATTCAGAAAAATGGTACATTAGTGTAGGTAAGTCAATATTACAAGACTTTGTAAGCACTTCAAAAATACGTTTATATGATTGGAAAAATTATAATTTTTAGTCTCTGCACTGCAGTAATTTACCTAAGTGTACTCATAATACATATTTACCAAGGCATACTCACCCGCTGGAATAGTTTATATATATGAAACCATTTCTTCATTTTGTAGTTTGAACATTCCACAGGTTTCTAGGGTTGCTAAAAAAGTTTTTGTGTTTAAAATAATGGTACTTTCTTTTTGTGATCTTGTAAAATTTATTTTTTAAGGTAAAGAATATATATTTATTTTTATTAAATAATTTTTTTCAGATCTACAAATTTCAAGTTATAATATTAAAATTTAAATCCAAACAGCACCCCTATTAGCTAGATTCTGGGTCCACACATATATCACATTGTCAAAAAATATCTACAATGGCTAATATGTTCATAAACTGGTAGAACTTTTTAAAACTCTAACTTTAATGGGCACAAAGCTGAATATATTTTATACTTTCAAGAAAAGAAAAATGGATTATTTTATCCTCAAAGAGTATTGACTAGTAAATTCTATTGCCAAGTAAATATATAAATAAAGAAATAAAATGAGAAAAAAGAAGTAGGCATAATGGATAGTGGGAAATTTGAGTTAGTCTGTGCAGTGAAAGAATGCAGATATTCTGATTATGAATTTATAAATATTATTTAACCCACCCATTCAGTTTTTTTCCCTAGCACAAATTAAAACTATTATTCAATTAAACTTTTCCTTTAAAAACATTTATTTGTAAATGTAAATTGAAGAGAAAAAAGCTATGAAGTATTTTATTCTTTTCCCTCAGGATCAATGTTTAATTAGGAAGGTATTACAATATATTTGATGCTCATGAAGAATTTTAGGTCAAATATATAAAATATAAGCATATTAAAATATAAGCATAAATGAATTGTAGAAAGTACTTCATTATAATATTTGCAATATGTATATAATGTACTTTGATCAAACTCACCCCATCTGTACAAAACTTTCTGAATCCTTTTCTATTTGCCCCTCCTTTTTAACAGTTGTTTGTTGAGTTTTACTGTGTTATTTTTATATACTTCTATAATATTCACCCTTGCCACCTTGTCTTTTCCTCTTGTCTATTGGATCCCTTCTAATGGTCCCTTATTTTATTTTTATGTAGTTATTATAATAGCAACAATAATTATTTTTTAATTTTGAAAGTGTAATTTTTTTATTTAGTAATTTTTCTTAGATAAAAATGGAAATTTGGGGAACAATTGGAAGCATATTTACCATACAGACTTTTTAGCAAGCAGAAACATAAAATCCATTTGTAACATTGCAACAATAATTATTATTATCTTAATTGTACAAAGGGGTCTTGTGATATTTCTAGCATAATATAATGTATGATGATCACATTTACCTATCTATAGTTGCCTTTCTTAGCCACTCTCTCCTTTCCCCTCCTTTTTGGTGAGTTCTATTTGTCTATTTTCATACACATATATAATAATGAACTTTTGTAACATTCAACCTCTATCACTGTTTCCTTTCTCCCTCTGCCAGAATGTTGGTTTTATATTTTTTATAATCATGTCATTATTATTACTTTTTAAAGTATAGATTCCACATACAAGAACAAATGTGTATTATTTGTTTTCCTGAACTTGGATTATCTTTCTTAACATGATGATCTCCAGTTCCATCCATTTTTTTGCAAGTAACATAATTTCATTCTCCTTTATGCCTAAACTATGTGTTCCATATCTTGGCTATAGTAAACAGAGCTGTTTTAGTGGTGTGTGGGTAGGTTATCTCTTTTGTATGTTCCTTTTGATCTATATTCAAGAATGGTATGGCAGGATCATAATGGCTAGACCAATTTTCATTCCTACCAATAGTGTAAGAGTGTTCTTTCCCTTGTCCTACATGCTTAATCAGTATTTTTTTTTTCTTGATGACTTCCATTCTGACTGGGTAAGATAGAATCTATGTTGTTTTCATTTGCGTTTGGTTTATGTTAAGGATGATGAACATTTCTTCATTTATTAGCCATTTATACTTCTTTTGAGAACTGTCCAGTTCGATTGCGTATTTATTAGTTAAGTTAATTTTTGGGGGGAGGAATATTTGATTATTTGAGCTCTTTATATATTTTATATGTTAACTTTTTGTACAATAAATAGCTTGTAAAGATTTTTTTTCATGTTCTGTGGATCGTCTCTGAAAAATGGTTATTATAAAAGTGATATACAGAGGGATTATAGTTACAATTCAAGTAAAGAGTATAATTCTTTTTGGATAATGTCATCGCTTCCCTCACACTCTCCCAGGGCTATTACTTGATTCTAAAAGTTGTTTACTTTCAAGTGCAGAAGACTTTTCATTTGATATTATCCCATGTGCTAATTCTTACCCTTATTTGTTGTTATTAGAGTCTATTAAGAAAATTGTTGCTTATTCTTTTATCTTCTAGTATTTTTCCTTTGCTTTTATACTATAATTTTAAATTTTCAGGTCTTACATTAAGGACTTCAATCCACTTTGATTTTAGTTAAGGGAAAAACACAGGAATCTAGTGTCAGTCTTTTATATATTCAGTTATTCCAAAATTATTGAAGACACTGTTTAAAATGATAGTACTTCTTACAGTGGTATCTGAAGCAACACACTCAAATTTTATTTTATTTTGTTTTAAATTAGGAGTTTTATCCTAAAACTACCCGAGTTATACCACATTCCTTTTTTCTTTTACTTTTGGGAGAGAGTCTCACATTTTTTATTTCCTGAAGTGGCCTGAACTGTTAGCTTCCTGCTAATACTTCCTAAGTAGCTGGGAGGACAAGTATAAACCACCCACCTAGATTTTTATTAGTTGAGATGGGAGTCTCAAAAAGGTTTTGTCTGGTTGTCTTCAACCCATGATCCTCCATTTCCCAAGTAGCTGGGATTACAAATCTGAGACACCACTGTTTGTTTAGTTTGTGTGTGTTTATATGTTTGGGGTGCTGTGGAGATTTAATCCAGTGCTTTACATACATTAGGTAAATGTTCTATCAATAAGCCATGTGCTCTATCACACAACTACATGTCCCCATCTCCAGCATTTAAAAAATAATTATATTATTATTGCAGAGGTGATGTACAGAGGGCTTACAGTTACATAGGTCAGATAATAAGTACATTTCTTTTTGAACTTTTCCCTGGCTCTCTCCCAGTTTTGCCCTCTCCTTTCCACCCACAAGTTGTATAGTTCATTTTCAACATACTGTCTAGTGAGTACCACTGCCATATTTGTTTACCCTTTGTCCCCCCTTTTCTGTGCCCCCTTACCCTCTCAAAGACAAATAAACTAATAAACAATACAAAAGGAAAAGATAACAAAAGCAGCAACAACAGCAGCAAAAAGCTCATTTCCATTTCTTGGAGTCATTTTGAAAGATATTACTTTCTATGATCATATGCACATAGTTATTGAGTCTTTGTGAGCTGCTCCTGTGAAGATATTTCTTTAGTCTTACTGTATGACTGTCTAGAGACTTGTATAGCTTATCATGTACCTGTGTATATGTGTGTGTATTTACTATCCAGTGTGTTTATTTGTAGGTTTGTAGACACATTCTAGTTACCACAGATGAAGGAAACCATGCAACCTATGTTTCTTTAGGTCTGGCTTATTTTACTGGCTTCCAAGTCTTTCCATTTCCTTATGAATGATACAGTATCATTCTTTCTGATGGACAAGTAGAATTCCATTGTGTATATCACCATATTTTCTTGATCTGTTTCTCCATTGAGTAGCATCTGGATTGATTCCATATCTTGACTATGGTAAACAATGCTGCAAGTGTACATGGTTTTTCACTTCCAGAATTTTGAGTAGGAGATATACAACCTGTAATAACATGAAACTCTTGTAGCACTTCACAGTTTGCAAAAATGCTTCCCCAGATAAAGTTTGTAAGGCAGTAATTATTCATTCCTTTGAAAAGGAGTAAAGTACATTAAAGCTTTGAATATCTATGTAATTTACCAATACTTATTGCGTTAATATGTGGTAAAACTAGGGTTAGAATTTAGATCTTCAGACTCTATAAGTCCAGAGACTTCTCTTTAGAAGGGTGCTAATGAATATTAAATCTTCTTGTAATGGCAAATTAATTATTCTCTTGGGTCTATTACATTTTCTTTTTTGCTTATCACTTCCCTTCTCTTCTCATTGGTCTGTCTTTTACTTGTCATGTCATGTCCATCTGAAATGGATTGTAACACATTCTGTGCTATATAAAATGGGCAGACATTGTTTAGAAGCTTTTAAGAACTGATGGTTTTGGAAAATAGCAAAGTAGATTGAATTAGTTTTATCTTAATGAAGCAGTTTATTCCTCTTGAATAGCATTTTTCTTTTTTAATTTTCACATATTATTTCTAAAATTAATAGACTTTATTTTTAGATAGTTCTAGGCTTAGATAAAAGCCTAAAATTTTAGCCGAATATCCAGAGTGCTACCATATACTCCTCAAATTCTCTAGTGTGAGGGAAAAGGATGAATTCAAAAAGGTAGGGAGAATGAAAGTGGACAAAGATACCAACTTCAACAGAACAGATCAACTGTAATGGAAAGTTGAAGAGGGACACCAAGGTGACCTGAGGAGAGTTAGGGGACAGGAGGCATGACATCATGAAAGCTGGGGTGGAGGGACTTAGGACTCAGGTGCATGACACCTAAGTGGTAGAAGTGGTAATTGGGCTTTCATATTTAGATTAAGATTCCTGGCTGGAGAATAGGCTGGGGAATTACAGGAAAGTCCCCTAGATGAAGGTGTGGTGGTCAGTGGGCCATGCCAGAGGAAATTTCCATCACCCAGCATTAACATATTAATATAAAATTTATATTAGTATTATTATATTAATATAGCATGTTTTTCACAGTTAATGTACCAGCATTTACAGATTATTACCTAAAGTTCATCATATACATTAGGGTCCATTGTGATGCACATTTGTTGTATTTGTTTAAGCAAATGTATATCTATATCTATCTCTATCTATATCTATCTATCTATCTATCTATCTATACCATGATAATGTAAAATTGTAATTCCATTGTTATAAAAGTCCTCTGTGTTCCACTTACTTATCTGCTCCTCTCTCTAATTTCTGGTAACTACTGATCTTTTTATTATCTCCATAGTTTTCTCTTTCCCAGCTGTCACTAGGATCATACCATATGTAGCCATTTCAGATTGGCTTCTTTACTTTGCAATATGCATTTGAGTTTATCCATGCTTTTCATGGCTTGAACACTCATTTCTTCTTTCTTCTTTTTCTCTGTCCCTCCCTCAATTCCTCCTTCCCTACACACATCCCTCCTTCCCTCTCTCCCTTCCTTCCTTCCTTCCTTTTCTCCCTCTCCTCTCCCCCTCTCTTTCTTTCACTTGCTTGCATCCTCATTGAATAACACTCTGTTATATAGGCTTGCCAGAATTAATTTATTCATTCATCTATCAAAGAACATCTTCCTCACCACCCAGTTTTGGCAATTATAAATAAGGCTACTTTCAACATGTGTGTATAAATATTTTTGTGGGTATAGGTTTTCAGTCCATTTCATTAAATACTAAGGAGCACAATTACTAATATGTATAAAAGGACTAATCTTCATTTTGTGTTTTTAGATAAGAGATTTAGTAGCCTAAGAATGGTAACTCCAGACAAACATCTTCTTTCTAAGTTTATGAAGTACATTCAACTTCCTATAAACTTTGAGGAGTTCCAGATACTCTGTTTGAAATTAAAAATAAGTGATAAAATTTCAAAGGAGTACAGTGACAACAGAGGATATACCATAGGGGAAAGAACATACAAAGGAAACAACAACGACAAAAAATAAAATCACATGGTACATTTAAAACAATAACAATAAAGACAGACCTCTTGTGGCCATATCTTGGGTTCATTTCACTTACCCTACATCTTGTGTGTGGGTATCGATATATATGTCTAATCTGGGAAGAGGATGGGGAATAACAAAACGCTGAAACAAGGACACAGGATGACTCATTGCAACAAGGATACCCACACACAGTATATTGGAAGCGAACTTTACAACTTTGGGCAGGGGTGGGAGAGTGGGAGGTAGGGGATGGGATGGGGAGGGGAGGAGTGATAGCGGGACAACAACAAGGAAGGGAAGGGGTAACAATGATGGACAAGTAATGTACTCATTGCCTTACTCATGAAACTGTGACCGCTCTGTACAGCATCTTTACAATAAAAGTTTACAAAAAGGGCTTCCTTGAGAAAAAAAAATTCAAAGGGGTGGATGCTATTTCACTTATGCTACTCTATTTTGCCAAAAAATTATTCCAGACATTTTAAAGTTATAGCGCCATTCAGAAAGGTCAAAGAACTGACTTTTAAAGGTACAATTTAAGAAAGACATCTGTAAACATTAAGGAAACTTAAAATCAGTATCTATTCAGAAAACGCCTGGTTAAATACAGTAAACTTAACATCAGCTATACTTTTGCAGAGAATAAACATGGAATTTTTTTTTTCGGTCGTGGGGCTTGAACTCCGGGCCTGGGCGCTGTCCCTCAGCTCTTCAGCTCAAGGCGAGCGCTCTGGTTTTCTGGTGGTTTATTGGAGATAGGAGTCTCACAGTCTTTCCTGCCCGGGCTGGCTTTGAACCCTGATCCTCAGATCTCAGCCTCCTGAGTAGCTAGGATTACAGGCGTGAGCCACCAGCGCCAGGCTCATGGAATTTTTTTTTAAGAGATGAGGACCAAACTCCAGCTTATTAAGAAATGACTAAATCCCCTTTTAAAGGAAAAGAATGAAGCATACAACAAATTATCTTTAGAACTGAAAGGACTTACAGACATACAGAGAACTTTAACTGAGTACCACTCTCATATACCTCCAGAAAAGACACTGTGGGTGAGAGTCTCTTATGGAAATCTGAATGATTGTTCCATTCATTGTGAGACTCACACCCCGTCCCCCGACCTCCAGGCTATGTTACGCCAGGCTAGTTTTCCCTAAAAACATTTCTCTGTCCCTTTTCCAGTATGCCAGGAAGCTGTCTGGGAAGCATTCAGGACTTTTTGGGATCGACTTCCTGAGCGTGAGGAATATCGTTACTGGATGGATTTGTGTGAGGATGGAATTACAAGTATATTTGAAATGGGTACCAATTTTAGTCAGTCAGTGGAACACAGAAGCTTACTCATGAAGGTAAGTGTTATGAGGAGGAAAGGAATCATGTGTTGTAGTAGCATGCACACATCGCTAAGACTAAATGAAGAAAGATGTGTGTGCATACACACACACACACACACACACACACTTGGGTTAATCCATTTGGAACTAGAAGTAGGAAACAGGCATTTGAAACTAGACCTTCTGAGTTGGAAGTCTGTTCTTTACGTCACGTTGATCTTAAAACTGCAATTTAGAAGAAACTTAGGAAAATTTGTTTTGGAATTCCGAGTTGAAAAAAAAATCCAATTACTGATATGATTTGTCTTTTGTCTGAATTTTAGAGAAACAGATTTATTGGCTATTTTATATTCATGTATATAGTGTTACAGGATGTCAGTTTATTACATCACAAAATTCTTTGATTCTGAGTTTATAGCATATAAATGTAAAACTCTACCAGTTTCCAACTTTAGACCTTTATCAAATGACTAGCAAGTAAACTCTGTTAATTTGTACCTATTCTGAGACACTCAGCAACTGTGGGACACATAGAAACACTGAATGTTGAGAAATGCCCACAGACACAAAACCAAGTTGGCATTAATAGTATCTGCATTTATTATTTGTATGTCACAGAAAACTGTATCACAAAAACTGTGACATACAGTCTATCATGTTAGAACATTAGTGTTCTCTGTAGAATAAGTTTTATTCACTGCTTCACAACTGTTACCAATTGAGTTATTTTTATATTTGTTTTTTCTTAGAAACTGACTTATACAGAGGAAACTATAAGCAGGTAACTATGTTGTTATTTTTCCCCTAAATTTGCCTTTGACAATAGAGATGTATTGTACTAGTCTGAGACTCACCCTTTTTGATGGTTCCTTTTCTGTTTTCCTTCCAGTTCTTGCAAGGACCAGACCTGTGGGTAAGTACCAACAGTTCTTACTCCTCTTGCCTCCATCTTCTTTGTCAGAACACTGCTATACCCACTGCTTGCTTACTGTCTGACTTACCAGGTGACAGACTTGTTCCTCTCTCCAATAAGAAAAAAAATTGATAGTTTTTATGGAATTATCTACTGCTATTGAAAATTAAAATCTAATGATGATATTGTTTAGAAATGGCATACTATAGTAGAAGAGAATCTGTCAAATAATGGGTGATGATGTGGATCACTTTCATAAACTACGATTATGGTCTTGAAATGAAGGAATAGTATGTACGACCTTGATGAAGCCACATTATGACTTGGGAATCATATGAATCTAGGAATCAAATTGTTTTCAGTACTTAAACAGTAGTAGGACAAGGAATATAAACGGTAGTACTATTGAGGTAAAAGATTTTACATTCTGTCAGTTATCAGAATATCAAGATTATGCCAGCGTGTAGATTATTACATAGGAAAGCACTGAGTAGGTTGAAAAATCAAGTGATTGAGTCAGTTTCTAGAGATCCAGCCTGAAGAGCAGAGTCAAGGTAAAGGCATAATTTAGAATTCATACAGGAAGTAATGTATCTGTATAATTTTAGTCATTCCATGTATTCTGTGTGGTGTTAGTCATTCATTCAATTCGTGATATCATCAAATCTATGCTGTGGCTTGAGATTTTGTAAATCGGGGTCAATTGTATGGCTTCTTCACTACTGAGAGGGAGAGTTTAAAGGTCTTTTGTGATTGACAATGTAACAATTAGTAAACTAAATACATTGTAGAGTCCTATCAGCCCCCTAAATTTTCACACTTATATGAAAACTATGATGAAGAGTTCTCTGTTGGTCAGGATATGACAGATTTGAATACAGGTTTGAAATGATGGGAGCGGGGCTTGGAGGAAATAAGCTATTCCTAAAATCCTCATGATAGTAGTATCAGGGTTCCCTGGGATGCTTACCCTTTTTTTAAGTGATTAGAAGAATTCAAGAACTGTAAAGCATGGGGGCTGGGAAGGGTCCATTGTGATTCTATCAGGTATTACGATGGAGTATTCTGGGTCTGAGGGGTTCTACTTTGAGACTTGTCTTTAGACATTGGTGTCAGTAACATTAGGTTAGTGAATTTGTTGGACTGCTTGGTATTGGCCTCACCATATTTGTTTATAAACAAAAGTTGACACTCATTAAGGAAGTTTTAGGCCCGTAGCTTAAAGTATTTGCTGTAATGTGTCCTCCAAAAATTGACTTAGCAGATGTTTAAGTAATTTTTATGGCCACTACCATCTAAACATTAGAAGTCACCACTATTCTACTCTGTTCTTCTTAGGTTGACATCCATTACTACTACTTTTCTGTACATTAAATTGCTTCTTCTATGTGAACTATAGCCTACTTAATGATGCATGATTTTGGTAAATACTGCTTTATTCCAATTTTAAGCTTCTCTATCATTTGCCAAGACTCTTCACCTCACCTCCCATCTTGCGCTTGGAAACCTCTGCCTGTAATTGTTTCCTTTTCCCAAGTCTTCAATATCTCTTTTATTAACTCCTTCTCATTAGTAAACATGTCCAAGTTCTTTTCTTTTGTAAAAAAGTTTGTTGTACAGAGGGGTACAGATACATAAGTCAAGTAATGAATACCTTTCTTTTTGAACAGTGTCACCTCCTCCCTCATTTTCTCCCAGTTTTTCCCCTCCTCACCCCTGTCTCCCACAAGTTGTATAGTCCCATTTCCAATACAGTGTCTAGTATCCCATCCCTGCTGAATTGGTTAACCCTGTGTCCCATTGTACTCAAATCTTTTCTATGAGGAGTCTGTTCCAGCTCTTTTCTCCATCATTGCCAAACAACCTTTATTTCCTTTTAGCACTAGCCCCTGCTTGAATATCCTGCTATTTGCTTTTTTTCTGTCATATTCTCAACAAGTGCAAAGTGCATATGGGTCAAAAAACATGTTATTAAATGTCTGAGTCTGTTCGTTATCAGGTCTCTGGTCATATTTTCATGTAAGGTTTGTTTGTTTTTTGGGATTTTCTTCATGATTCCCTAATTAACTTACATTTGTAGTTGATGATAATCATCAGGGATAACAAAACCACAGTTTTCAGTACATGTTTTATTCTGGTTGGAATGATACTTTTCTGTATTATTTACTCATATTTGTTTACCATTTAATACTTTTGGTAATTCTTCTGTATATTATTTTATTTAATTTTCCTCAACACTTTTGTGAAATTGGTTAAATAAGGAGGTACTCTTATTTTAAATTAATTAAATATTTCAGATCTAGGCCAAATAAAGTGTTTTTCCAAGTCATATACAATGTTAAAGATACATATGAGACTAGCACCATCTTAAATTCTTTTGCTATTATATGCTGGTTATAATAATGAATTCAAGAGCAAAGTATAGAAAACTATCAAGGCAGCTGGATGCTGGTAGCGTACACTTGGAATCTTAGCTACTCAAGAGGCTGAGATCTGAGGATTGCAGTTCAAAGCCAGCCCAGGCAGAAAAGTTTGTGAGACTCTTATCCCCAGTTAACTACTCCCCAAAAAGCCAAAAGTAGAGTTGTGGCTGAAGAGATAGAGTGCTATCATTGAGCAAAAGAGCCCAGGGATAGCGCTCAGGCCCCAAGTTCAACACCAGGACCTACACTAAAAACAAAAAATAAAAAAACAAAAAACTCATGAAAACAGAAAAAGAAAATTATCAAGGGGAATAGTAATCAATCTGAGTATGAACCATTGTTTGGCTTGTTTTACAATTTTTAAAACTCTTGGGTCCTTGTGTGTGCTAAGCACATATTCTACCACTAAACTATAGCATAAATCTGCATTGTTTCCAAACTTACGTTCCATGTGACTAGGAGCATATTTTTTCACTTCCCTACCTGATTTCCACTGACTTGATTAGGTAATGACAGTGAAGAATGAATAATAGGCTGTATGAACTGAGAAGGGTGTTGTATTATATTAAAGATCTTAGCGAAACAACTTTAAGTTTGTAGTTTGGCCTAGAAATGAAGAAGAATTTCCTCCTCTAAGCTCAATATACCTCTGTGTTCTAGTGCTATGGTGAGTGACATTTTAAGGGATCCCTATAGGAGGTTTAACAAATAAGAATGTATGAAAGAATTCGTGTTGTTCAGTGTCCTTTATTGCCTTTTGAAAGGAGAATGAGTAGGAGGGTGAAGGATAAAGTGTTGGAGTGTTAGACAAGCAATTTGAAGCACTGGGTTTCCTAATTACTTTCATTAAGATGTTGTTTATATTCAGTAAGGTAAAAGCTTCTCCTCAAGTTAGCAGACTTCTCTACTTCTTCATGCTTGCTAATTTGATTTTCAGGAACAATCTGACCCATGTTAGATGATGAGGTCTGATTTTGAGGGATAATTTGATTTTGAGGAACAATTTGACCCACCTCAGATGAGGTTTTATTTCTTTCTCATTTCATCCTAACATCCTCCTGTAGTTGCCAGCATCCTGGTCTAGCTGTCATGTTGTGCTTTGGTGTTCCTTTGATTTACTGTGCTTTTTTTGGGGGGGGGTCTAGTTGTGGGGCCTGGGCGCTGTCCCTCAGCTCTTCAGCTCAAGGCTAGCGCTCTACCACTTGAGCCACAGCGCCACTTCCGGCTTTTTTCTTTTTG